TAATCGAGAGGGAATCGTGGCCCTGTAGGCAGGCAGGCATGTTCAGCTATGAAAATGAGTGCAGAAATCCTCCATGAACGCCCGTAAAGTGAATCCGACTGTGTTAAAGATGTATCTCGGAACCAGATTTACTCTCCTGCCTCAAACAGAGAAAAACTGGACAGAATGTGCAGAACAACTGTTTTAAGATGTGGGAGAATATGGAGATGAAGACTGTGATCCCAGAGGAGAGGGAAGCGAGTGAGACGGGGCCTTCCGTCTCTGAAGCTCTCTGCCAGGAGGTGCGTTCCGAACAGCGGCGTGCAGGGAGTTCGCGAGCAGAACACAGTGTCCTGGGCCGAGGAGCCGAGCCTGGGGCTCTGGGGGCCTGAGGCAGCTGACAGTCGTGGAGGCAGAGTTCCAGGGAGGAGAGAGCTGTGGAAGCCAGCTCCGTGTTTGCTTAGTGCTCAGACGTGTAGGCAGAGCGAAACTCTTTCACGTACGTGTGTACACGCACATATGTAACGAGACTGCCACTGTGTGAAGGCGGACTGTGGCGGTGAGCGCTGTTGACTGTGTGCTCTGGAACAGCTGCCACACGCAGGGTCGTAACTAGTAAGTCCCCAAAGGAGAAAAACAGTGGATTCAGAAGAACATGCAATTAATCCAAAAGAAGTCATTAAATAGGAAAAAATTCACAACGAACAGTTGGAACAAACAGAAATCCAACAGGAAGGAAGAATCATATGACTTATTGCACGAAGTGTGGATGACACGAAGACCAGGTTAAAAGTCAGGTCGATGATAAAGCGACAGCGAACGATGGGGCGCCTGCAAGCAATCCGCTTTAAATATAAAGACACAATAAATTAAAAGTAAAAGAGTGGAAGAGACACAGCAAGATAGCACTGATCAAAAGAAAGCTGGAGTGCCTACACTAGTACCACACGAAGCCGACTTCACTGCAAATAATCTCAGCAGGATACGCAGGGTCATTTCGCCAGAGGAAACGGCCGTTCTCAGTGTTTTTGCACCAAATAACACAGATCAAAAAACATCAAGTGAAAAACTCACGGACCTGAAAGAAGAAACTGGCGAATTTACAAATAGAATTAGAGATTTCAGCTCCTCTTTAGGGTGGCCAGGTGCTTCAGCCAGTCCCCTCTCCCCCGGTCATGGGGACTGACACCCCCACCACCGCTGAGGTACTGCGCCCACCCCTTTTCCTTGATGGTGGTTAAGTGGTCATTTTAGGGCTTCGCTCTGGCCTATGGATAGTGTTTACCTTCAACCTGCCCTACCCTGTCGTCATCCTGGATGGATGACAAAAGTGGATTTATAGTTCCTTTTTTTTTTGCAAAATTCTTTCTGTTTCTATTCTTGGAATATTAAGTTGAAATTTTAAAATGGTGTTTATTCATTCTTTCATTAAATACTTATTGAGTGACTGTGTGGGTAAGGGATGCATGAAAGTATGTAAACACAGCCTCAGGGGATATTTTTTGTTTGTTCTGGTTTGTTCTGTTGCCTTTGGACCTCCTTCACCCATTTTCTCCGAACCCCAGCCCCTCGCCTCTGGCAACCACCAATCTGTTGTCTGATCTGTGAGCTGAGGTTTTTGTTTTTGTTTTCATTTCTGTTTAGATTCCATACATGAGAAAGATCATATGGTGTTTGTTTTTCTCTGTCTGGCCTGTTTCACTTAGCATAATACCCTCCACGTCCATCCATGTTGTCCCAAATGGGAAGATTTCATTGTTTTTCAAGGTTGAATAATACTCCATTTTCTGTCTGCCTGTCTGCCTGCCTGCCTGCCTGTCTATCTATCTATCTGTCACTTTCCAGATAAAGAAAATTATTGCTTCAGAGCTCTTCAGTCCTTTCTGCCAGTCTGAATCACCCTGGGTACAGGGAGTGACCCCTGACCTCCCAGTACCTTCTGTTCATCCATCAGTGGACACGGAGGTCGCTTCTGTGTCTTGGCCACTGTAAATAGTGCTACAGTGAACATGCAGGCGCATATGTCTTTTCAAGTTAGTGTTTGCCTTTTCCTTGGATAAATATCCAAAAGTAGAATTGCAGGATCTTACAGCAGTTCTATTTTTAATTTTTTAAGGAGCCTTCATACTTTTTTCCATAGTGGCTGCACCAATTTACATTCCCACCAACAGTGCACTAAGGGTTCCCTTTTCTCCACACCCTCATCAGCTAGTTATTTCTTGTTTCTTATAATAGTTATTCTAACAAGTGTGAGGTGACCTCTCGTTGTGGTTTTAATTTGCATTTCCCTTTGAGTAGTGATGTTGAACGTTGTTTCAGGTACATGTTGGCTTTGTCTTTGAAAAAATGTCTGTTTAAATCTTTTGCCTCTTCTTCAATCAGATTGGGTATTTTTTTTCACTACTGAGTTGTATGAATTCTTTATATACTTTGGATGTTGTCCTCTTATCAGGTAGGTGAGTTGTAAATATTTTTCCCATCATCATCGTGTTGATGGCTGGCTTTGCTGTGCAGAAGCTCTTTAGTTTACCACGACTCCACTTGTTTATTTTTGCTTTTGTTTCTTTTACTTTTGATGTCAGATTCAAAAAAATCATTGCCAAGACCTGTGTCAAGGAGCTTACCATCTTGTGTTTTATTTCCTGTGTGCTCTATCGAGGGCCAGTAGCTTCTTGCTTTCATTCTTGAATCGCCCATAATTTTTCTCATAATAATCTCCAAAGTTTAATGTTTCCAGAGCACCCTGTAACCCAAGTTTATTGTTGGCGCAGTTTCTTCAGTGAGGAGGGGGCCCTGCTGGCAAGCCTGGGGGAAGAGGACTGCTGTTTGACATTGTAGACCGTGGAAGCACGATTTGACTGAAAGCTGCATATATGTAATTCTCGTATAAAATAAAATTAAATCTGATAAGAAAAAGAAAAGGTCTAGCATGCTTGCTGTTCCTCTCCACCCTGGCCTACTGCAGGCATCGCTAATCTATAACAGCCCAGCCTACTGCAGGCATCATTAATCTATAACAGCCCTGCTGTCCACTGCCTCCCAGCCTCCCAGCCCTTCTCAATGCAGGACTCCAGGCAGGCACTGCCGTCAGAGCTGACATGAACCCAGTCCTCCACTCCTGATCTTTTCCACTGACTCTGTGAACAGATTTTGCTTTTGCTTTCCTAGCTCTGAACTTGGTGCCTTTTGCAGAATGACTCTGAGCTTCAGCCCTCCAGTGTCACGCACCACAGCTTGTGGTGTACACTGCTCCTAAACCGAGCCATGCCTCATGGCCGCGTTCTGTGGCTCCCTGCTCAGTGGGGGGGGGGGGCTGTAACAGCAGTAGTGTACAGAAGCTTATTTATTTATGTGTCCCCACGCCAGAACTCCTAAGAGAAACCCCCCTTGGGAGGAGTGGGTGCAGCCGACTGGACATCTCATTGCTTCAGGGCTCTCAGTCCTTTCTCTCGGTCTGAGTCACCCTGTGGACAGGGAGTCACCTCTGACCTTCCGGTACTTTCCTCTCTAAGAAGAGCAGCGACGTCCGACAGCCACTCCTGCTGTGGTTGGCTGACACCAGGGAGGGGCACACTGTGTAGCGGGGGGTGGCACGGGAACGGTGACAGCAG